GATAATTCTTGGATTTTGGAATATATGAAACCCAAATAAAAAGCTTTTGGTAAAACATATCAGTTTATTCGTTAATCGGATTTTACACTCTCTCATATAATTTTCTCTATTATAACATTCACTTTACTCGCATATTTTCAACACCAAATATATGTATCAACTTATATATATATCACATGTCATATACGAACCAGATTCGTTCGATACATAAAAATAAACAACTATAATATATATATACCTTATCCATTTTAAATATATAATAATCGAGTTATATTAAAATTTTTAAAAATTGATATATAATTGGTTTGATGAATGTGTATCAAATGTGAGTTTATTAAGTAATAAAGTAAAAAGATATATCTTTATTATCTCTTGTATTATTTTTCTAGATTCGGATTTTCAACCCAACTAATATAATAATTAGGTTATATATCTACTTTGTTTTGTGTCTAATTTTTTGGTGGATTTTGTTTTTTGCCACTTTCAAAAGATTAATGCTAAAATATAAAATTATATCAATCTCTACATAAATAAATTGAATATTTCGTTCTTGAAATATTTCTAATCAAAACTATATAGAGATGTTGATTTGAACAAACCATATTTATCTACTCGAAACATGAATATAATATATAAAAGTAAATCTATTCCATGACAATATAAAGATCTTTCATTATTTTGATTGACATCATTTATTTTTCGTTGAAACTTTGAAATAATTAATGTCATATATACATTATGTGTGTGCATATATATATATATATATATATATATATAATTATATCAAAAAACTAAATTTTTCGATTTTGACATTTGTACTTTAGTTTCTGTAAAATAAAATCATAATTTCATTCTCATATTTGAATTAAACCCGAACTTTATATGCGATATTATTTTTAAACATGAACGTTGATGGATAGTTTCGAAAACCTATGTGGCAAATCCATCCTTAGTTGACACATCACTTTCCACGTAGAGAAATAAAAAGTCATGCTATTTTCTTATTTAAAAATAAGGCCTTAAATGGTAAGAGTTTTTAGAATCCAAAAACAAAAAAAAAACAACATTCAACTTTTTACAAAATTACTTTTTCTAAAAACTTGGAAAGCCATTTTAGTGAAAAAATCAATGAAAAATCAAAAGCTATTTTTTTGAGTTTTTAAATATTATAAAATTCAAAAGCCAAAAACCAAAAACTAAAAACCAAAATCCAAAAACTAAAACCAAAAACCCAAAATAAAAGCCATCTCCATTCAAAGCCTAAGTAATAACAAAAATAAAAATAAAAAACAAAAAAAAACAAACAAATACATATGTATATATATTCATATACATATATATACATATATATTCATAATCATATATATATATAATCATGTCATTTTTTATTTAAAAAATAAAAAATAATTAAAAAGACAAAACATATATACACATATATACACAGACATACATATCCATATATATATACATATTTATATATATTTATATATATATATATATAAATATATATAAATATGTATATATATATGGATATGTATGTCTGCAGACATCGTTTGAGTCCGTTCCAACAAACCATGATGTGAGTCGTGGCCTATTTAGTAGGTTCTTAAAGACCCAAAAAAAAATTGTACGGAAATTATTTAAACAAATAAAAGTGGAAAAAAATAAACGAATAAAAAATCAGACACCTTCTCCGTTCTTCCTGCTCTCGCTCTCTCTCTCTCTGCTCTTCCAATGGCGCAAGTTCAGATCATAGAAGCACACTGAATTCAAAGTAATGTATTCGTTTTCGTCTCCTCTTTTGTCTTCCTTTGCTTATGTTCTTTCTTCATTGAACACTTTCAAAAAGCTTGTAACTTTATGTTTTGTTTCCTATCTTTTTACTCTGAAACGGATTCGAATTGCATAACCTTAAACAAAGAAACACCTTCAACAGCATCACCAGATTTTCTAAAATCGAGTTTATAACAATCATATTAAAGACCTATAAAAAAAAAAGTTAATGAAAATCACCAAAAACGCCATAATTTTCCAGAATTTAAATAGTCATAACCCATCAAAGTTAGAACAGAAAAAATCAAAACTTTAGATGATTACCTGAGAAGACAAATCAGTAGCGATATAAATAAGCGAGGATGTGATGCTTTTCATCAAAACCGGCCTCGATTTCACTGGAAGAATATTAAACTTATTCAAAAAGTTAGAGAAAACTAAAATAACAAAGAAAAAAAATGAAACAGAACAGATTGTTTATCTACGAAGTTCGAATCATTTTCAACAACAAAGTTTTTTTAAAAAAAAAATTGGTAGATTTTAATCGATTAAAATCTTTTTTTGATTTCGGTTTTGATGTTAGCGAGGAATTTGTGTAACACTCATCAATTTATAAGCAATTTTAAGAATAAATGCATTTAACTTATATTAAACTTAAAGAAAATAATAAATGATATTCGTTGAATCGGATAAAAATTAATTGAATCTGTATAAACGGTTAATTTTATAGATGTATTGAAAAAAAATCAGAAAAATTGTAATTAATATAAATTAACGGTCAATGTATTTCATTTGTTAGAACTAATAAAAAAATTAATAAATGAATGTACTTAAATAAGAATGATTTCGATTTTTGTTAATGTATAAATAATTAATGGGGAGATTTGTAACCTTTCATATTCTAAAGATTAGACACGTGTCATGCTCCCGTTTCACGGAACTGTACTTATATATATATATATATATATATATGATATGATTAGTGTTATTTATCTAAATATTGTTTTTTTAATAAGATTATCTAAATATTGTTAAAACGTCAATACTATTAGTTATTTTTTTTCTGTCATTGTTAGTCACATTTAGATTTAGATTTTTTTTTCCATACAGGTTTATCTGATTAATTTAGATACTAAAGTCACTTACCTCGGATTTTTTTTCCTAAATGGGTAGGGGTAAAGTTTACAAAAAGAAACTCAATATAATTTATCAAAACCAATATATTTTAAAATTGAATTTTGATTGTAATTTTATCTGTTTCTAAACTTATCCTCTCAACTCTTACCCAAACCGAAATTCGATTGACGTAAAATACAAATAAATATAGACGTAGAACAAATTAGAAACCGATATCAAACTATGTCTAGAATTTAATTCTGATTCCATCTCTTACCCTTTCATGGCTATTTTATCAATATGCGAAAACACACAAAATTGCACAAAAGATTTGATTTCTATATTTATCTAATAGAACCAAACCGAAAGAAAACCGAACCGAACCAATACACAACAATCACAATCAAAATCTTGTTTGATTTCAGGCCGGTTCAAACATTTTCCCTTATGTGAAACCAATACTGTATTTGCAAAAAAAAAAAAACAATTTCAATTTGCATTTTTATTTTTATTTTACAGAATTGAACCATACCGAACCAAGTTCACACAAAATCTACTTCTAATTTAAAAAAGCGACAAAAAAAATATAACAAATGGAACCAAAGTATAACGGTATTCTAATCGGTATAGAGTTATACCAACACATAAACCGGGTTAAAACCAAATGGTCACTCTATAAATATAATAACTTTAGATAAGTAAGAGAAAATCTATATAAATACATCAATTTTTTTAAAGTATGCTAAATAAATATTTAAAATTTTAATTTAATCACATGATATTTTTAAAATACTAAAATGTACTGAATTAATACACTAATTTCTGAAATTGTATCAAGTTAATATCTCAATTTCTGAAATTGAGATCGATTTCCAACCAAAATCTATATCAATTTAGATGTTTTGAACAAATATATAAGGGTTTTGGTTGAAAATTGTTCTTAAATTCAAAGAGAGATTAATTTGATGTTTTTTAAGTGAGATATTGTATTATCAAAATAAAAGATGGATATTTATTGAACATATTTTAAAAAAATTAAGATATTTATATAAGATTTTCCATATAAAAAAACCATAAAGAAATGTAAACAAGGACGGACGGGAGGAGGCGAAAGCCGCGTGCTTGCTTGCTCCGAGAGAGAGAGAGAGAGAGAGAGAGAGAGAGAGAGAGAGAGAGAGAGAGAGAGAGAGTTTTGGTAAGCAGCCCAAACCGGGACAGAGACAACTTAGTGATTAAATTTGCCGACTTGTTCTGGTCAATATCAATGTATATACACTCACATATACATTATATATCACAGATTTCACCTATATATCTGTACATATATATATTACTATATATTGGTTGACAGTCGTTTCCTTTTTGCTAGGGCTATATATTCAATTCTCCTTGGATACTGTTCTTATTACTGGCCTCTTTTTTTTTCTTTTTTTTTTTACATTTTTTCCTTTCAATTTAGTCTCTCGTTATTAAAATGCAATTAATAAGATTTGTTTATTATTTCTTGATTATATGGTAAATAACCATTACTGTCTTCTCCTAATAATCCTGGTTTCTGTTCCCATTCGGGCTTGTCCTTCTTTGCTTCCGTTTCCTCATTCTGTCGTCTCTTCATCGCCTCTGCAACAGGGTATTGCTTTTTCCTCTTTTTTTTTTTTTTTTTCTCTTCGTCAATTGGTGCTTTTTTTTATTTATTGTTTTGTGGGTTTGAGGAGGAATCGGGGAAATTTAGACAAGTGGGTTTTTCCTGAAACTCTTTGTTTTCTTTTTCACCGTAGGTTGCCCGAATCGATTTCCTTTTTGTTTGCTGTCCAGATTAGGTTTGCGTGTGCTTTTTTTATTTTTCTCCTGTTCGGTTCCTGGGTTCCTTCATGCTCGATCGAAACCCATCGCATCGGTTGGTGGGTTCCTTTTTCTTTTTTGAAAGTTTTCGTTTTTATTCGAAATTCTGGGGGGTTTTCATCCTGAATTCACCAGAATCGGCCGTGGTTTAAGTGGTTGTTTAGTTAGTTCCTGGAAATTTTGTTTTTTTTTCATGGGTTTTATGCTGTGTCGTGACATTCGAACAGATCTCTGCCTGCAAGAACCTGGTAGTGTTTTTGTTCTTCTGATTTCATTGTTACCTTGTTGGGTGTTTCTCTGACGAAACTTTACCTCCAAGTTGTTGCTTTCTTTCGCTTTGCCTTGCCTTGCTGTTTTGCTTTGTTGCTGTTTTGCGTTGAGATACTTGGCTTTGTGTTCGGTGTTTTGTCACAATGGATGGGTTGTCTTGATGTTGCGGTTCTTGTTTGGCCTGAGTTAGAGACTGACATTTTGATCTCTGCTCTTCTTTTTCTGATGCCATTGTGATCATAATCGGTCAAATTGTCTCCAAGATACTCAATTGTATTTGTTGCAACGGTAAGATTGTTGTTTGGCTTGAGTTGTTCTAATGTCTTAGCTCGTCTGATCGAAAGCTAGTGCCTTGAGGGGTTTCCCTTCATCGGCGGATGAATATCAAGTCGTTATTCATGCGTCTAATCGATTGATACCACCACTTATGCATCTTTACAGAAAGATTCATGGGTCGGATTTTGTTTTTGGGTGGCCGGTTTCACCATGTAAGTTAATAGCTCTTGTATCATGTTTTCTCTGTTAGCGCGTCTTTAGTCCGTGATCTAGAGATCTTGCATTGTTCTAAGTGTTAGTCTCCTGCCTTGCATATCCCTTTCTTGATTCGCTTCTTGAATTTTGCATATGCGAACGGATTACTGGTTGCGTCTTCCTTGCTTTGAATGTGCTTTTCCCTTCATGTTCTTGTTGGCAATGTCGACTCATTGACATGGGTGTATACCTTCAGTGTCAGTTTGCCATTGAGCATTATAATTCTTTTCGTTAAGTGGCGATTTATGTTCCATTCTCAAATACATGCTTCCAGAGCTTTATCTCCATTTTTTTTGCTGAAAAATAAGGTCCCTATGTTTTTTTTTTTTTTTTTTTTTTTTTTTTGCTTTTTTTTTTTTTTTTTTTTTTTTTTTTTTTTTTTTTTTTTTGGCAGTTTCACTATCCAGTTCATTGCCATTGGTGTTGATTCTTAGCCGGGGTTAAAGCATATAGCCCAGATGCAGGGAGAGAGAGCCAGTCTCGGCTCTTTATCAGAGTCCTTGAACTTTGAGCACGGTTCTACTACGTCAAGTAATGCTGTGGTAGATCAGCAGATCCGTTGGGAGGATATTCGCAGTCTTGGTGATAATGACTTGCAGGATTATATGATTTCATCTGCCGACACAAATACTGCATTTGCCAACTCAGTTTATCATGGGCAACAGGATTTGCACAGATTCAACCTTGGAGAGGCTAGCTCTAGCGGCACGGAGAATGAAGTTGCCAGTCAGGTTGAGCAGAGACCGGAACTTGAATGCTTCGAGGAACGAAGACATGAGAGTAATGATTTGAACCCACTATTTGTGCAATCTTCTAGTTCTAGTCGAGGTCCTCAGAATGTCAACCTGAATGCAGAATTCGTCGAACATCCTGGGGATATGGCTCAGGTCATGGGTCATCCAAGTTTATTCGATACTAATGGAGCTGGGAGCAGGTTTTTATCACCGGGCATGGGTTTTGAAGAGAGTAGTAGTAGAGCAGGTTCTTCCCTTGAGGGTCGTCGTGTTTCCTGCAAAAGAAAAACCCTCGAAGGCAGCATTGGTCAGTCCTCTTCAAGCGGATGTTTTCGCGCTTTCCAGCGTGGAGAAAGCAGTTCTTGGACCACAGCTCCGACATTTTATAGCCCAGGAAGTGGTTTGAACATATCTGGTTCTCTTGACCAACATCCAAGAGGATTGGTCTCTGGCATTGTTCCGAACATTCCTGTTCCTGCAATTGCAGAGCGCTCCAGTAGAAGATTGTGTATCAGGGTTACTCCCTCGGGTCAACAAGAAATTGTAAACCCAGCTGTCTTTTCTGCAGGAAGTGTTGTCAGGCGACCTGTTGCTCCGTCCATGTCAATTTCATCAAGACTTCTGCCCGTGGATCAACAACATCTTTATGGCTTGACACATGGACATGCTTTAGGCAGTGTGGTTTCTCAGAGCCCGAATGCTGCTGCTCCTCGGATGCCCCCCAATTCAAGAAACATGTTACCACCGTTCCGATGGAGTGGAGGCTCTGTGCCGGGTGCATCATCTAGTTCGGTTGCGCCCATTGACAGAAATGTGATTCAGCGAGATGAATCCAGGTCAAGAAGCATATCGAGAAATATTCTAGGGAATCCCTTGTTTGTTCCAGCAACTGAGCCGAGAAATCTGGCCCGTAGTCACGTGAATAGAAATGTCACTACTGGAAATCCGAACATTCCTGGAAACATTGTGTCATCTTCGTCCAGTACAGGCGCAAGTGCAGGTGGTCAACCGTTGTCTCGGTCTAATCCCGCATGGAATCCTCCTTACCCAAGTAATTCTCCACAATATCAAAGAAGATTTTCTGGACTTGTCCGAAGGACGTTGCTATCTTCCGTTGCTGGGGATGGTTCGAGTCAGAGAGCTGGTGATGATCCAACACTTCGTTCTCTAGTTCCCCCTGCTTCTCCCGATGATCCTCTGCGCCAATCTGGAGGTGATAATAGCATTAGCCAGGCACATAATCGTGGATACCCGAGACAAGGTGATGGAGCGATCGGGATCCCCCATACCTTGCGATTCTTGGCATCCACAAGTCGAGGAAGAAACAGATTTATGACTTCCGAGGTCATGTCATTTCCATATAACATTATAATTTCATGTCGGTTTTGGTTCATAAGGTTTCCTGAGCAACTTCTGGAATTAAACTGAGAATGTTGCTTCTCTTTTGAACAGATACTCAATGCCTTGGATATCGTGCGTAGGGGGGATACCTTGCGGTACGAGGTAGGTTTTCCATTTGCTGGTAAACTGAAAATAAGGGTTTTCGCAGAATCTGAAAACCGAACAATACCCGTGTTGAAAAATCCGAACTTGTAATGATTCAGTGCTTCGGATCAGCAAAGAACATGAATGGTCTTGTGATTTTTTTTTTCCCTGGTTTGCTTTTGTCAGGATTTTATGCTTCTTGATCAGTCAGTGCCTTTAAGGGCGGCCGATAGTCATGACCGACACAGAGACATGAGACTTGATGTTGACAACATGTCGTACGAGGTAAAACCACACCGAACCTAACCATAAACCGTTTTCCACGGCCACGTTAATCGTGATCCTCAGTTCCCGCCCGCTGAACATCTATACATCGGTTCATACGGGTGTAGGAGCTGTTGGCACTTGAAGAGCGGATCGGGGATGTTTGTACCGGCCTGAGCGAGGAAACCATATCAAACCGGCTGAAGCGGCAGAAGTTCAAGAGCAGCAGCAGCAGCAGCAGCAGATTGTCTCAGGAAACAGAACCATGTTGTGTTTGCCAGGTAAATGATATATACACATATATGTATACGTATGGATATGTATATACAACGGTACTTTACAACTGAAATGTGTGCATTGAACAGGAGGAATACAAGGAAGGAGAAGATGTGGGGACGCTGGAGTGTGGCCATTGTTTCCACAGCGAATGCATCAAAGAATGGCTGAAAATGAAAAACATCTGCCCGATTTGCAAAACCACCGGCTTGAAGAACACATCGGGCAAACGGACAGGATGATCAGAAGCCACTCAACGCAGTGGCTGCGGATTTTCCATTGTCAGAGCTTACCATTCATTTAAAAACCAGAAGAAAATGAGGACCCTTGTCGGTGAATTGACTGTGTTAACACCCCTTTTTTTCCCCTCTTCAAATTCATTCTATTTCCATTGCAGAGATTCACCAGGAACACAAGAGGCAAAGTCTGTTCTGTTTTTTTTTTTGTTCTCATTGTTTTTCGGTTTGGGTTTGAAGATGATTGGATTATGGGTTGTCGGAAAGATTCGATTTTGATGGAAAGATTGAGAGAGATGAGGGGAAGGGAGAATTGGGTTCTTCTTGGATAATTTAATTGGATTGGCCATGGTAATTTTTTTTAATGAATACCCAGAAAAAAAAGGGGGCATAGGAGAGTTTGTAGCCTATTGAATGGATATCATTACATTTGATTTGAATTATACTTGCTTTCTTATATTTGGTTTTATGTGGTTTTGGTTCTTGTTTTCGAACCTGATTCTAAGACTTTTTTTTATACTTAGAATGATAATTAAGGAATTCGTATGCATACATTAATCTAAAGTTTATTTAGGATCGGCCGAATAAGTTTTTTGTTTCCATTTATTTCGGTTTTGAGTTGACTCTTTCGTAATTTGTAACAGTTTTGTCATTTCTAATGACATGTCGTATCTTTTTTTTTTCTTTTTACCTTTGTTCCTATATTCTCCATTTTTCTAACCGACGCATCTATCGACATACGTTGTTCATGTCCAAACCATTTTAATCGTCGCTCCCGTAACTTGTCTTCTATACTTACTCCTATTTTCTCTATAACAGGTTTATTTATACTTACCACCAATTAACAAGTTTAAAAATTATAATAACATATTTTGCTAAAAATAAATTTGCTAAACGAAAAGTTATATTATTAGTTTTCCACCATTTCACAAGTTTTAGAATTTTTATAAATTTTATCCAGAATATATACCATATAATATCCTCGCCGTGGAGAATCAAATCGGAACACAATCGTATACATAGAGGTTTTATTTTACTCTCTCTAAAGCTTTTTTTTTCCCTTAGTAGTTATTTTCATCATAAGCATATTGTTAAAATATTTTCTTCATAAGCATATTTTATTAATGAATTTGTGTTTAGAAACGCATCGGCACAAAACATATAAATTGGTTTATGCTGTTAATCCCCAAGGACTAGAAAAAGATTTGTCAAATTTATAAAAAAAATATCAATAATTATGTGGAAAATATATTTTATGGGTTTAAACATTTATCGTACACAAGTTGATAAGTTTTGAAATTTTTGTTTCCATTGGCTCCAAGACGTTTATTTTAATTGGGTTTTGGAGTAATTTGACAAGGTATCACGAATCACGATCTTAAGCGATCATGGAAGACAATAAAATAACTTATTGTTAAGATTACACTTCACTTATTTGGACAATACTTTAAAACAAGAGAAAATCATATATTAACTTGTAAAAAAAATTCTAAATAAATACAACGAATGTTAAATTTTTCAAAAAAAAAAAATACACGAATTTTTCTTAATTTTACATTAAAATTGAACTTTTAAATAATTTTCAAAAACTGTCGTATCATGATGGTATTTGGGAGTTGTTTAAAAGTTTAGGGTTTAATTTTATGACAATGATTAGATTTATTTAAGAAATTTAATTAGGGGTTAGTTGATAAAATTAAAAAATTTAGAGAAAATTATTATTTGTGTCAGAAGCGATTAGTATCAAATAAAAGTTTTGGATAAATTTTAAAAATATGACAAATAGGATAAGGTGTAATTTTTTTAAAGTTTTCTTGTCTCTCTTTTTTGTTCTTTTCCCAAACTTTTCTAGGATTTTTTCAAAAAGTATTTTGGCAGTATATGGAAATTTGGCGAAAAATCCAACTTCATTAGAAACATAATTACAAATTTCTCAATTATGGAATTAGATTCTCTTGTCTTTTTAGAGACATCTACTGTCCATATTGTATCTTTTTTTAAACCAAACATAAATAGAAATACTATAACGTTGTTGTCATGATTAATTTTGTAACCACCCGAATGTTATGTACGTTGAATTTGTCCTACTGATCATACTGACCAATGTGCTTTCTCGTACACTCGAACACTTCATGAGAAATATTTTCTAGGAATTCATCCATCTTAATACTACATAACTTTAAAATTCTCTCAATATATGCAATAAAAAGGATAGATACATTTTGTTAGTAGGAATAATTAAATTAATTCTTTTGAACTATTGTTGCCTCTGTAGTTTCATACCCATACAACTTTCGAATCCTTTTAATTTCAGTGCGTTCGATTTTGTCCCATGTTCCTCTGATCTAGAAGTCTGCTAGGATTTGTTCTTTAGCTGTGTCCTTTTGCATCAAAGATCGTTCTCCCAACTTCATCGGCACCGGGATATCACAGGCCCATCAACTTTCGTCTAGTTCGTCCTCGAACCACACCGTATTGAGAGAGTTCCAATTCTGATATCATTTGTAATGTTCCGAATGTTACAGACGTTGAAACCACCTCCACTAACCAATACGAAACCTTTCAATGTGTTTTGTTCTTACTCGTACACTTTTCGAAAAATATTTTCTAGAATGTCTCTCAAGATAAACAACAAAAAAGAAAGGTATATCTTGCTAGTATGAGTATCTCAATTAATTCCTTTAAATTATCGTTGATTAGGTAGTTTCATACCTATAAAACTCTCAAATCCCGATCATTCCCTCGCCTTCATCAACTCCGGAATATCACAAACTTGACGATGTCACTTTGAATCTGAGAAAGGTAAAATGTACAACAAAAAATACCTTGAATTGTTTAGAAAGTCACGCAATAAATTAATGAGACGAAACACATAAAAAATTACAAAAAAAAAATTGAAGAATAATTAGACACATAAAGAGTCAACTGTTTTCTTTAACAAAAAAAAAAGACAACTGTTTTATGTGAACGTTGTAAGAAATGCATGTAATTGTTAAAGTAGGAAAATGAATATGTGATTGGAGGAAAATCTGTAGAAAAATAAAATGCGGAATAAAATAAGATAAATAGAAAAGAACGGAATTACTTTTATTGCTACATCTCTTCTTCTTCTTCCATTACAATGAAAATAACTCACATATTTATAGGAAAATTAATAACTGAAATAAAAGGAAATATAGATATAACGGAAATAAATATGATTCACAATATTTAACATAATATTGTATTCCTCCAAAATCTAGATTTTCCTCCAATCACATATTCATTTTCCTACTTTAACAGTAATAACGTACGAATTTTGTAAATACTATTAGTGTTCGATGAAAAATTCCGGCTCAGGTGGACTCGTCATTTTATTGGTTTGCCATCTCTTAATTTATAATATCTTACTATACTAAAATGTAAAAGAAAAACATAGTGAGAGAGTGCAATTTTTACGACCAATTTTAAAATCGTTGTTTGTTAACAGATGGGTACTAATTAAATTAAATGCAAGAGATATTATTATGTCTTTTCGAATTTTTTGAATGTTTATTTATGTATAAAAATAAACTATTTAATATTTGTTTTCCAACTAAACCCGGGGCTTGATTATTTGGTTGAAAAATTAATTATTACCTTTTAAAATCAAAATTTGCATATGTTAATAATCTCTGAATATATAGTTTAAAATAGGGAAAATCGCATATATATTTTAAAATATCAAATATTATCATCTATTTGCAGATAAAAAAGAATAGAAATATCGTAAAAAACATAACCTTTTTAAATTTGATAAATAAATATATGAACTTCTAATTTTATATAAAAATACACAAAGTTTGAAATTTTTTTATGTAAATTCACAAAAACACTAATATCAACTGAATTTTTGTGTGATATATGCGAAAATTTTCAAATTTTGGGTATTTATTTTTTATAAATTTATATGTGGATTTATATTAAAATATTCAATTTTTGTACTATACTCCCAAAAATAATATCACAACTTGGGTAAAAAAAGAGAAAAAAAAAGTATATCAACGTTAATAAAAAATACTCCTATTTCAGTATTGAAGATGTGGATTATGTAAGCATATACACATACTTAGAATTAGTAAAAAAAGATAAATTAGTAGTTACAATCATATCATATCTATGTAAGATTATTAGAGATAGATAAACATTTCTTTTTAAAAAATCGTATATAAATACCTAAATTTTTATAAAATTCTTAGATAAATATCTGAACTATAAAATTTTCATATAAATATTTAAATTTTTCAAAACTTCTACAAAGATATCTAAACTTTTGAAAATCTTCTAAATAAAACAATATTTGTTAACGATGTTTAACGTGTCTAAATATTAAATCATTAATTTTTGACGGAGTCTGTTATAAATTAAATATTGTTAATCAATTTGGATTTTATTTGATAAATTTTTAAAAGTTTAGATATTTACGTGAAAGTTTTGAAACAAATAGATATTTATACAGAGAGTTTTATTGTCCAAATATTTATGCGAAAAATTTATAAAAATTATAGTATTTATATGATTTTTCTTTTTTTATAATCATCACGTGAATTTAAACGGCACAGTGAGGTTCAATAATTGAAGGCCCAAACAGTGACGTCCCCAATTGGATTCACGTTTTTTCTTAAAAATATATAAAATTAATTATTGTCAAATCGAAATCATTTTCTTTTCTTCGTGGAACCCTTTCCTTTCACTCGAAATCATTTTGGTTGCCTACATCACGAATCACGACTTAATCAAAGTGGTCCGCATATTAAGATATAAAGAACGTTATAAAAAAAAAGATATAAAGAATGGTGCAAATTTATATATTTAGAAGTGTGTATGGTGTGTGTGTGTATATATATATATATATATATATATATTAAGATATAAAGAATAGTGCAAATTTTATATCTTTAGAAATATATATATATATATATATATAATATATTCATTTACTGCATACAAGTCCCCATAATGGTCCGCATATTATAAAGAAAAATCTGTTGCACCTTATGATTAAGTTTGGTTATACTCAGCGGACCCAGAAAAATTAAAATAGGGCCATTTAAAATTTTATTTAAAGTTTTATAATATTTATAAAGAAAATTAAATTTTTTTAATTGAAGCAATGGGGCAAAGGAAAGGACCTAATTGTAACAAGGATTAATGTACACCACAATAAATTGGCATCCTGAAAATGGTCAAATAGCTCATAATGTTTATTAAGAGTTATTTAAGTACCAAACTTAACCATTGAGAAAAGCCCATATAACATTTATCATACCTTAAAAAAAACTCATTACCTAAATTATATGCCTTAAAAAATTGAAATGTGTTCATCATTTCCTATATATATATATATATATTGGTACTTAGGATTTCTATATTACAAAATTATTTGTTAATCTAAATGAAAATGTATCCATAATATCACATATCTATTTTAATTTGTCACTCGAGTAAACACGAATATGAAAATGGTCTTGCGTGGGCACTTCCGACAGGTGATGGAATGATTGTTATAATCGAGTACTTATATTATATTTTGGTGATAGGAAATCTCATATAAATATTCTAAATTTGCAAAATATGTCAAATAAATAACTAACATTTAATTTAATGTAATTGATATTCAAATAGTAATATATTTGAAATTGATATTTTAAATATTAAAATGGATGTCGTAATTCACAAAATCGATAGTAATTTACAGTTCGACTCCGACGATGATGAATCAATTAAAAGAAAATTATTAACATAAAAAATGAATCGAAATTAAATATTATGTTCGATTTTATGATTGAGATACTAATTTAAATCATTTTAATATGACGAGGTATCAATTTAGAATATTTTAATATTTGGAATATCAATCAAATCAAATTAAAATTTTAGTTCTTTATCTGATACATTTTATATTTATACGAGATTTTACCTCGAGTGAAATTGAGTTAGGTAGTCTAGCATGGAATAATTAATACTTTCAACGTGAAAAGCAACGGCGGCCTTTCCGTTGTCTACTAAAGTATTTTATTTTATCAACTTCAATATTTATATGGCACAAGAAATAAAAAAAATTAAATTAAATTTTAGTACTATAAATACATACGTAGCCATATCTAGTGCAGGATTTCTATTTTACAAAATTATTTTTAAATCTAAATGAAAACGTAACCCAATCCGTGGTGGTCGAATCATGTAGTTGGTTGAAAAAGGTAGAGATGTCTCTGTACCAGGTCCCATGTTCGAGTAATGGTTGGGGAGTAGGTGCACAATTTAAATGTATCCATATACTATCAGATATCTATTTTTGTCACTCGAGTAGACTCGAGTGTGAATATGGACTTGCGTATGCACGTCCCGCAGGTGATGAAATGATTGTTGTAATCGGATACTTACATTTGGGTAAATGAAAAATCTCATATAAATATTCTAAATTTGCAAAATATATCAAAGAAATATTTAACTTTTAATCTGATATAATTGACATTTAAATGATAAAGTATTTTAAATTGATATCTTAAATATTAAAATGGATATCGTAACTTACGAAATCGATACTAATTTAGAATCCCGACTTGACCATGATGTATCAATTAGAAAAAAATTCATAACATAAAAAATGAATCAAGATTGTGAATTACTCTCTATTTCATGATTGAGATATTAATTTGAATCATTTTAATATTATGAAGTATCAATTAAGAATATTTTAATTTTTCGAGTGTCAATTAAATCAAATTAAAAATTTATTTATTTATTGGATACATTTTACAAATTTGTGATATTTATAGGAGATTTTACCTGGATTGAAATTGAATTAGGTAATGGAGCATCGAATAATTAACACTTTCAACGTGAAAAGCAACGGCGGCCTTTCAATTGCCTACTAAAAGTATTTTATTTTATCAACTTCAATATTTATATGCCACAAGAAAATAAAAAAAAAATTGCATTTTAGTACTATAAATACATACATAGGCATATCTAGTGCATGCTCAAACTCTCCACGACAGTTCTCTTTTCCTCTCCACCTATTTCTTTGATCAAATACTCTTTCCAAGTTTGGTTTTGTAAGAATGTCCGAACCCGAAATGAAATTCACCAAAAATTATTTCTTGGTCGATCCGAACAAAGCCAGCTTTCTCGATCTGCTACTCGTTTTGTTCACATCCGATCTATCGAAGAGAAAGTTCGTAGACTCTCCACCCGAGACTCTTGGAACTAGCCGAAGCACTTTCACGAGCAGATTTATCATTTTCGCCGCGGTTGTTGTCCAAAAAATCCTCATTTTCTTGAGAAAACCGCTTGCGAAATTGGGTGGTGCTTTTACCTTTTGGCTTAATCTTCTCGATAACAATGGAGGGTTCTTCAAGTTGATAGTACACCTTTTGACTGGTGAGAGCTTATACGAAACCCTAATCTCTGCATGGGATTTTCATGGCGATGAAAAAAAATAACCCTAATCTTTAGAGAATAATACTGTTTCTTTCGCAACATATTTTCCTAGACCTTTGCCCCATTGAGACCTAAAGGGTACGATGTTTGAACCTGCAACATTGATCCTGAGTTCGGACAAATTGAGATACCCTCTTAATATCTATAAATCTCTCTCCTCTCTCTCTCTCTCTCTATATATATATATAATACCGAGTTGTATATATAAGGGCAAATATGTCATTCCCAATTGTTAGGGTTTTGTGTATATATGCTACATGTATCTCAGACTTGTGAATACGATTGATATTTTTCTCTGTGTCGTTCGTCTTTTAGCATGGTATCAGAGCGATACCCTTCGATCGTGTTTTGATCTCTGGTTTTTCTGGTGCTTTCATCTGTTCTTCGTCTCTACCGTGTGCTCCGACGACTTCACGTCCGTCAGAGTTTGTGCTCGAGATCCTCGTTCGAGTTTTGTTTGTGTTGTGAATCTGTGACTTGCGTCCTTCTCTTCTCTGAAACATGTCAGACGACGCGTCAAAGAAGAAGACAAGTACATCCACGATGGGTCCGCGCAAGACCATCAATCCGTATGATTTGTCGGCGAGTGATAATCCCGGTTGTCTTATTTCCCAAGTGATTCTCAATGATCACAATTACGTAGATTGGGCTCGGGAAATTCGTACTGCTTTACGCTCGCGCAAGAAGTTTGGCTTCATTGATGGTACCATCAAAAAGCCTCGTGATGATGATGATGATTTGGAAGATTGGTGGGCCAATAATTCTCTGATTGTATCATGGATTCGTAACACTATGTCTTCTGATCTCCGATCACATGTTTCCCACTTTGAGATTGCGGAGGACCTTTGGAACGATATTAAGCAACAATATTCTGTGTCTAACGGACCGAGGAATTTAGGACACTACTTTTCATCCTTGTCTCATCATGATAAGAGGCACTTGAAATTGAAGTTTGGTTGCGCTTCGTTTACCTAGCTAAGTTAGTATTTTTGTTGCGAGATTTGTGATTCAAAGATTGACGAGATCGATCTAAGTACGGTTCACAGGAAAAGTGGTGTGGCCGAAGGAATCATCGGCAACGTACACGTCGTTCATCGGATCCTCGGACAGGAGAGTGGAGTTAGATGCTAAGATGAACGTTGGTTCGGAAGAGTACAAGTCCATGCTGTCCCTCATGGCTGCAAAGGTTGCGTACGAGAATCAAGCTTTCACCACTTCCACGGTCCGAAACCATTGGAAGGTCAGTTTCTCCATTTTTTTTTGTTTTTTAATTTGTTTTTCTGTTTAATATGTACCATATATTTAATGGGAGATAATACTTCGACGGTCCAAAACCATAATTGGTTACCGTCATTTGTTTATATTGCAGATGGAGTATTTGGATTTCTACGAGTGTTACAACGGTACGGTAAAATAATATCTACGTGCTCTTTTTCTCTTAAAAACACGAAAATTTTACAAAAATAGAAAACGAATCAAACTAAAAATACGTCAGCTTAAACGTTCATAATTTATAATCAAAAATATTTTTTTTCTAGATTTCAAGAGAGAGTTTTATTGTTTTAATTAAAAAAACATTCTATGTTTTGGCACGGATCTCAACTAAGCTGGATATAAAAAACATGTATATATATACATATGTGTGTGTTTGTGTCTAATAATGAATTTGGCTTTTGATTTTTGGGGGTTTGGATTTTTTTTTTTGATAATCCGGAAGTTCACCGGGCTTTTGGTTCGACTACATCTCCCAGATGACCGGAAAAGTCCAGGTGAATGCCCCTTCCCACGCTTGGATTTGAATCCAGGGTGAGAGCATGTTTTGCATGTTCTCTCACCACTAAACCACCCAAGCTTGGATCGGTTTGGATTTTTTCTTTCACAAAATTGGGAAAGCCCCGACGTTGGATCAAATCCTTTAGCAAATTAGCATATAATATAACGTATATGTGAAAAAAATATAATATATTTACACATGATAGGAACGGGCAGCGATTTATTATCACATGTGAGCAAATGCTTTTCAGTTCCTCGATGACAAATATAGAAACAAAGAAATGGGCATATTCATATATATATAAATGCCAACTAGGCAAGGGAATGTAACTAATTTAATTGATAATAAATGCGTATCTAAAGGGGTATTCATTTATTAATAATATAGAAAATAAGTTTAATAAATGTTATTTGGATTTTACAATGTTGGCTATAGATACGAACTCCTTGTGGTGAATAGGGACATTTCATTATATATATATGTATAATTAAATAAAATGAGAAAAAATTCTACAAATTAAATCTTGATATATAAACTAAAGATATGTATTTTTAAGATTAAATTAATAAAGACATAATTAAATATAACAATAACCGAAAGAACATTTTATTAGATAATATTTTTTAATATCAAATTCAGATAAAAAATTCTTCATAAAGCCATAAATTAAATATAAAATTGTCAAATTAAAAAATTATCTCAAACCCGAAATATATTGACAAAAATTACTGGAGTTACATGGGGCTATAGTTTTGTATGGCCAGATTGGTCAATAGATTGAAAAGAAATAAAATGTGGACAGCCACTATTCTTTTTTATTTTTTATTTTTTATTTTTTTTACAGCCAAAACACTTATTAGTTAACTTCCCTTATCGTAAAACCTATGTTGAGATCCACAAGAGCCGATGTTATCCAACAATAAAGAACACAAACCAACCTGTCGATTTTTAATCATTTATTAAAAAATATTTGGAAAAAAAAATCTACGAAAATTCATGCAAGAAAGAGCTATATTTAATCAAGTCGTTATTATGCTTTTATTTATAAATGACGTCAATTCCATATTTTGCAGAAAATAAAATTCATTCAGTATATACTTCTCCGTAATGAAATTAAATTTAATTCCGAAACGGAACCTTTTTATTTTTTATTTTGGACATCAGCGTACCAAGAACTTAAGCTCACGGAAGCATTCATGTTCAAAGCTTCGGATTCGAATCTCATTGTCGTTAGTTTCAGAGGAACAGAACCTTTCAACTCTGATGATTGGTGCAGCGATCTCGATATCTCATGGTATTTTTGTTTTTTTATAATACGAAAATTTACCAAACTTTTGGTCCGAAAACTTTTGGTCCGACTACATCTTTCAACACTTCTATTTTTTTATAAAAATCACCATATCATGGTGGTACTTGGGAGTAATTTATTTTCTTTTTTTCTAACAAGTTCATGATTTAATATTGAAATTAAAAATAGTTTATTTAAAAATTTTAAAGTTCGTATATTTATTTGATATTTTTTTTATAAATTTATTTATTAATATGATATTTCTGTAATAAAACAAAACTATTATGTAGGGCATATGTGTCTGTAGGGTTAATGATGTTATTGTGTGTGTGACCCAAACAGGTACGAATTAAAGAACGTGGGAAAAGTCCATGCAGGGTTCATGAAAGCCCTAGGCCTTCAAAAGAACGGATGGCCTAAAGAGATAATTCAACTCTTGAACAAATACGCTTACTACGCGATCCGACAAAAGCTAAGAGACATGTTCATCTTGGACAAGACGTCAAAGTTCATATTGACCGGGCATAGCCTCGGTGCTGCGTTGGCCGCTTTGTTTCCCGCGGTTTTGGCGATCCATGGCGAGGACAAGCTGTTGGATCGGTGTGAGGGAGTTTACACGTTCGGACAGCCGAGGGTTGGAGATGAACAATTCGGGGAATTCATGAAGGGTGTTATGAACAAGCATGATATCAAGTACAAGAGATTCGTGTATTGCAATGACTTGGTGCCAAGAATTCCCTTTGACGACACTATGTTGTTCGGGTTCAAGCACTATGGACCTTGCATTTACTTCAATACTCTCTACAAAGGGAGGGTAAGTACCAATCAATATCATCTATGGTAAAAAGTTTTAAGTTTTTTATTATGACATGGGACCCCGCAGCCATTATCTTTCGGTCGTGCAGGGATAAATCTCGCTCCCATATAATATCATGCAAACTACGCGAAAGATATAAATCCGATTTGGGTTATCTATAAATGACAGATTAACATATGAGGAGGATAATATATAGGACTCGAATCTATAATATGTTTTAAGTCATATAGTGATGAGTATGCCATACCATAAAATTTGATATAGTAGGTAACAATCAGTGTGTCTTGTAGTAAAGTATAAAGTTTCAAGCCCTAAAATTTCGCATACTTGTCGATATTTTTCACTCAAAATTCATTATTCGGTCAATTTTACGTAAGTTTTGGTATTTCACGAACGATTACGTTGTATTGAACCTATGATACGTTTTTTTGTAGGTGTGTGAGGATCAACCGAACAAAAACTACTTTTCTATATTGTGGTTCATACCAAAGTTATTAACCGCGGTTTGGGAGCTTATAAGGAGCTTCATAATACCGTTTTGGAAGGGAAAAGACTTCAAAGAGAATTGGTTGATGAGGCTTATTAGGGTTATGGGTTTGCTGCTTCCGGGTGCATCCGACCATTTCCCTTGCGACTACGTAAGTTCCATGCGTCTCGGAGGTTTGCCTCAATCATCTCCGGACGAGAAGTTATCCCTCATTGTCTGAAGACAAAAGATCAAGCAAAAGAATCTGCAAAAAGTCTTTTTATCTTATGATTACGAGTTTGATGTCTGAAATAAATGTCGAGTTTGTCATAAGAACTTTATTGGTCGGTTGAATAATTGTTCGGTCTTTTACTTGGTTTCTATCCGCTAATTAAGAACAACCTTTAGCATTTTAAATATTATCATAACTAAGACATGTTTAGTTTATTGCAATGAAAAAAATGAGTGATGGTTATGTGCCTTAAAGGCATGGTTTTTTTTTTGTTGAAATAAAAATGTTAAAGATTAAAAGAAGATAAATGTTTTATAATGACCACTTTTGAAATAAACCTTTTGTTAATGATGGAACATCTCTTGGGGATAATAGAAACCCTATTATTAATTCACTGAATATCAGCGGGCCCAAATCTCAATAGTTGACGTTATAAACAAAATTTTTGTTCAAAATAATTGTCGTAATTTTTTTTATAATAATTTCCATTTTATCCTTAATTAAAACTAATTAATTCTAATAAACTTAATGAATATTAATTATATTTCAATTTTAAATAAGGGTAGATATGACTTTTTTACAGTTTCTTAAAAATTGTAAAAAAAAAATTAAAACATCAGTTATTATGCAACGGATGGGTAATAAATGTGGACAATAATTTTGATTATCGGACATTTGTTATGGGGATATTTAATAATTTAATTAAATTTTATACTTTATAAAGAAATTAATTCTCTTTAATTACACATATGGGCATGTGACCAAGTGGGTCCGCCCATAAATATGATAATTGATAGAATGGTTCGAAACAGGGGTTAGAAATGATAAAAATATAAATATTTGTCAAAACATCCAGAAACTATATTGCATAAATCTAGGTGTTAAAATATATTTTAAAGATATTTATACGAATAGTAATAACTATTAGAATATATTTCATCCCTAGTTTAATTTTGAATTTAGGTTCAATTTTTTTTATAAAATATTATATCCATTTAGTTTTATATTTGAAATTATTGTGTAATCAATTTGCTTTTTTTTTGAAATATTGTTTAAAATTCAATGATTTGGACCCATCATTAATTCCATGACATTAACCCGTTTATGCAACTCCATAAGCTTTTTGGATCATTTAACCTCATCGTTATTGTAACGAACTAACGATGCATATTGCCATTTGTCAACCGCTAGCGATGGTACAAAATTTCCAACATATGAATCCTAACTCGAAATTTTATTTGAAATCACCTAAAAAACTAAAGTATTTAAATAGTTTAGATTTGAATTATAATTTTAAAATATCTATAGACATGCGTTTGAATTTTTATTTTGAAATTTAGATATCTAGCGATATCCGACAAAGTTATCAAAGTATGCATAATTTTATTTGCTTTAACGAAAATATTAATAGATTTTATCTACTTTAACGAAAAGTTTTAGACGCGATATTTTACCACCAATAAAAAATATTCTAAAATTGGAAAAAATCGATAGATATACATGCTTTTTGCAAAATGTGTAAAAATACACTAATTTTTAATTTGACGGATAAATATATCAAATATTGAAACGTGACTGATGATTTTCAGGTGTCATTATACGAGCAGGGGAATCGAGCGGTAGCTGATCCAAGGAAGTTCGAAGGGGAGCAAACCTTATAAAGGCGCCATAAGGTTTCAAAGGAAGGGAATGACGTCATGCTAAGCTGAAGATGAATTACTAAAGGGTAATTTGGTCTTTCTGCAGGAGATCAAATTGGGGCTTCTCATATAAGCTCGATCATCACATTAGGGCTCGTCACTTCTTCATTTTTTTCGCGGGGTTTTCATTCTTGGTTGCAGTTCTTGAAGCAGGTTTGCTTCAGTTTCTTTTGGCTCGATTCTTTCGCACTCTTAGCAATAAATTCTTCCCTTATCCGAGACCTAGGCTCGAGGTAAAAACTCGGTAACCGAACTCGTTAAACGGTGTGTCAATCTCTTCCTCTTTTCTCTGTTCGATCTGTTCTGGTTCGTGTTCGGCAGTCGCAACACCAGGGCTGTCGAAGACGTTCTTCAATCTTGCACGCGATTAACCGGCCTGAACACTACAGTGACAAAACATATAAAGGGTTATTATTGTATTTTCAATACATGTAATTAGGGTTATCATTTGTATAAATACTCTACCTATTGTAACGTGTTTCATTAAGAGAAAATCACTTCATTATATGATATCAGAGCCACCATTAACCCTAGCTCTTGATCTCTTCTGTTGTCCACTTATTCTACCACCATCATCTCTTCTGGCTACCGCTACTCCTCCCCGGCTTCATGTCTGCCGCCTCAACTCCAACAGTTGCTGCAACCACCGCAGTCCACACCGACGAGAGTATCGTGATTGAAACAAAATCACCGGCCAAAACTCTTCTCCATGTCAACATGTCTTCCATCACTAGGCTCACACCGACGAACTTTCTCACGTGGAGCCTTCAAGTTCGTGCCCTCCTTGAAGGCTATAATCTGGCCTCTTACATCGATGATTCCGCTGTCGTGCCCTCGACTACTCTCATGGTCGATGATGTTACTCGGGATAATCCCGACTTCGGCTTATGGAGACAACAAGATCGCCTCCTATTCTCTTTCCTCCTCGGCACACTCTCGGCTTCTCTCCAGTTGTTGGCCGCCCGATCCAAGACCACCCTTGATGCTTGGAATACCATCGCCAATACGTATGGCAAGGTGTCTCGTGGCCACTTACTTCAACTCCGAGATCAGTTTCAGAAGAGTATCAAGGGATCTCAAAGCATGGATGAGCTTTGTCACTTCCAAAACCGAAGAGCTTTCTCTCCTCGGTAAACCTATGGACCATGAAGACGTTCTTGAGGTTATTCTTGATGGACTCCCCGAAGAGTACAAACCTATTGTTGATGCAGTTAATGCTCGGGACATTGCGATTTCGATTGAGGAACTTCATGAGAAGCTTCTCAACCATGAGGCCAAAGTAATTCTCTCACAATCTTCCTCGGTGTCGGCCTCCTTTCCTATCTCTGCTCATAACACAGACACAAGAGCCCGTCAGTCTCAACGCGGCGGACACTGCCCTCCGTGGCAACGTCCAGGCATGTGGCATTCAAGGTCACACTGCCAAACGATGTCCTTAGTTCCATATGATCGCGGCTCACGACACCTCTGACACCTCTGCTCCGTGTCCTTGGTCTGCATCTCCTCGGTCGCACCCTCCTCGTGCTCATCAGGCCATACACTCTTCCTATGATGCTCAGCCTTGGCTCCTTGATAGTGGTGCCTCTCATCATATCACCACCGATCTCCACAACCTTGCCATTCATAGTCCGTACACCGGTGATGATGATGTTGTTGTTGGTGATGGTTCGAGTTTGTCTATCACACACTCTGGTTCACTCTCACTGCCTCTTGACTCTCGTTCTCTTCATCTTGATGACGTGTTGTGTGTTCCTTCCATGTCTAAGAACCTTATCTCGGTTCATCAGCTTTGTCGTGCTAATGCTGTCTCCGTGGAATTTTTTTCATCTTATTTTTCAGGTGAAGGATCTCAGCACGGGGGCCCAGTTCTAAAAGGACCAAGTAAGCATGGCGTCTATGAGTGGCCGTCCATCTCAACTTCTTGCGTCAAGTCCACTTTGTTCGAGTGGCATTCTCGTTTAGGTCACCCACCACTTCCCTATTTTTTTTCATTCATGTAGTAGTAATAAAAGTCACAAACTTTCTTTCTCAGAGTCTTCTATTGCTTCTTCTCGTGCGCTTGAAATTATTTTTTCCGATGTATGGACCTCTCCCGTGCATTCGATTGATGGTTTCAAGTATTATGTGCTTTTTGTTGATCATTTTACACGCTATTCATGGTTGTTTCCACTAAAGGGGCTTTCTTGTTTGGCATTGCTAGCAAGGTTGATTTAATTTCCTCAGCTGTCGGAATGGAAGTACACAAAGTATTGGTGGACAGGTTTCCTTCTAGATTGAATAGTTCAACAATTCCAGATTCTGCTGTCACTGACACTGTCTCGTCTGGCTTACCGATAAGATCCTGAAAATATTCCACCGCATGGTTTTTTATTTCTTCTGGCTGGTCTATTCGATTCCCTTGCTGATCAATCAAGTAGTGAATATGATTCTTAGCCACTCGCGCTTTTGCAACCTTATGGAAAAAAGTCGTGTTTCGATCTCCCGCTTGCAACCATCGGATGCGGGATTTCTGCATGAAAAATATCTCTTCAGCATTGGCCAGCTCTACCCACTTCTTTCTTTGCAGTTTCTCTGCCTCCACTAGCTGCTCATTTGGAGCAGAATATAGCTGGTGTTGAATCCCTTTTAATTTTAGATGTTCCTGCTTCGTGCGAAGAGATATATTGCTGAATTGCTCCGCGTTTAATTGTCTTAACGGTTGCTTCAGCCCCTTGAGACTGCGGCATAGTCGATATTGCATCGTTCCAGGCACTGATGAGCCCATCCAATTGTTCTTGATGACCTGCCGAAAAGAAGGAGAGGTGGCAATATGATGGAAATATTTAAATGAACGGCGAACCTGACGGATGGGAGATGGGAAGAAAAATTGGCATGCTGCGTGGTCCGACATTCCCGGTTCTTTGAATTCCACATACACCTCTTGAAACTCAATATGCCAAGGTGCATTGCCCATCGCTCGATCTAATTTGACAGCTAGAGGGTTGGCGGATTGGTTATTAAACCATGTGAATAAGAGCCCTCTGCTTTCTATATCCGACAGTCCTGCGTGAGAGATAGCTTCTTCCATGGCTTCCATTCCTTGTGATGGTATATTATTGTTCAGAAAATCCGATCTTTCAGTCGGGAATAGCGGTTGATTGAAGTCTCCGACAACCAACCAAGGAGATTGTCCGAGAGGTGGATAATCTGCCAAATTCTTTAGATTCTGCCATAGAGAAGAACGTTCGTGCGCCGAATTCTTCCCATACACTAGTGTTGCTGTGAAGCGGATTTCATGCAGAGGGATCTCAATACCGCATGTGAGTGTCTGTATGTTGGATTCATACACAATTACTTTCACCGACGGGTGCCATACAATCCAGATACGTCCCGAAATATCTGCGTCGTGGTTGCAGTGATAGTACCAGTCCGCAGGAAGAGCTGCCTTGATCCTATGCTCATTGTCTTTTTTTATGTGCGTTTCTAATAAACCTCCAACAAGGAGT